TATTAACCTACTTTATACAAATAAACGTGATTTATGATGTAATTATCCCGACACTTTCCTGAATTTGGAAAATAATACGAGCAGATACTCTATACGAAACGAAAAATATTATTAATTTTCTGTTCCTAAGAAAAAGCCGTGAATCAGGTCAAACACGTTCCCTACCTTACAAAGCGTGCTTGATCCTAATTTAATTTTGATGTTTTGAAGATAACTGACGGCTTATAGTAGAGTTGTTTGATAGTAAATACATTTTTAACCCCTTTTTAGTCATTGTCTACATTTCAGGATGAGATTGTGTGGAAAAAAGTGTATATGTTTGCTTGCATCTTTGTTCTACAATGTGAATCATCGAGTTTGCAAAAAATGGTAAGTTTTTTGATTGATTGCACAAGCAAATCGGACTACTGGCATGTTTGATAGCCATATTTGCAGGCAGGCAGGACAGAAAATACTGAATTCTTTCAAGAATAAAGTATAGTCGAAGTAACTGGTATTGTGTATACTTAAAGTGTAAGCGCCCTCAATGGCCAAAAAAACCAATACAGAGAAATAAAGCCGCTGTCAACAAGTCCACGTGGACTGACGAATTGGCGGTTCGTATTGGATGATTTTTACTAACCAAGTTTTATGATTGGCTGAAGAGTCATAAAATTAAATTTGAAGTCATGTTACAATGATGAATAGAATGCGAGACGTCGTGTTGTCAATGTTCAGTTCAGGAACTGATCGCGATTTGAGTGTTGAAATTCGATATTGGTGCAGTAGTAATAACTTGAAATTTTTGTTATCGTTTAAAATATGGCGCCCTTGGACAAGAAGTAATGGTAAAAACGAGTGTGATAACGATGTAGACTTTTTCCTGTGTAGTGATTCCAATAGCGATGGTGAACAATTTGAAAAAGATATATCAGTGACCAAAATTTGGATGCATTTGGATATTGAAATACAGAGAGTATATTTCAACGTATATAAGAATCTACATCTCAAGTTATTTGAATCCCTACTTTCTCACTCACCTATACAAATGAAATATTCAATTGGCGCGGGTATATTTTGGCGCCCCTTGACGGCCATTTTGTTTTAATGACATCTGTCAAATCTTTTGTTTATTATTCAGTTGTTTATGCCAAATCATCATGGCAAGTTACACGATTGAACACCACGTTCAAATGATAAAACTTCATTATCAAAATGAGTGTTCGTTAACGCAAACGTTGCGAGCATTGCGCCCATTTTACGGTAGACGTGGTGGCCCTTCACAGTCGACTCTTCCACGTTCGGTGTCTAAATTTGAAATGACCGGTTCAGTAAACAATCAGCCAACACCCGTACGTTAAAGGAACCCAAGATCGGCCGAGAACATCTCCGCGGTCCATGAAAGTGTACAGCAGAACCCAAGGCAGTCAATTTCTCGTCGTGCACAAGAACTCGGCCTTTCGCAGACTTCAACTTGGCGAATTTTGCGTCGGGACTTGGGCCTACACCCGTACAAGACCCAACTGACCCAGGAGCTCAAAGTTCATGACCGTAGACAACGCCGTTTGTTCATTGACTGGGCTTCGAATCGTTTGGAAGAGGACCCCAATTTTGGCCGAAAAATCATCTTTAGTGACGAGGCGCATTTTTGGATGAATGGCTGTGTTAACAAGCAAAATTGCCATATATAGGCCGACACCAACCCACGCGAGGTTCACCAGGTGATAATGCATCCTCAAAAAATTACCGTTTGGTGTGGATTTTGGGCCGGCGGCGTAATTGGTCCGTACTTTTTTGAAAATGACGTTAGTGAGGCGGTCACCGTCAATAGCGAGCGCTACAGAACGATGATAACTAATTTCTTATGGCCCAATTGAACCATATGGACCTAGACGACATCTGGTTCCAGCAGGACGGCGCTACGTTGCACACAGCAAACGCCACGATTGACATTTTGCATGAACGATTTGAGGGTGAGATTATCTCTCGCAGGGGTGATGTGAATTGGCCACCAAGGTAATGCGATTTGACCCCGCTAGACTTTTTCCTGTATGGTTCCTTGAAGTCGCAGGTCTATGCAAATAAACCACAATCGACCGATGCCCTAAAGGTGAACATAACACAGGCCATCGCTCAAATTCAGCCGGATCTATATGAGTTACTGGAGCATTCCCAGATGTTGATGTTATACGAATAGCATAGTAACCTGTGTTCACTTTATTGAACTTCAGAAAGATGAATAATGCTATTTTTGACAAACACTTGAATATCAGTCACAGATCTCCACCTATAATGGAAATACATACAGACTGTTTTCTCTGCATTCACTGCATTCACTATCAAAAAATGTCTTTCACACCAATTCATGAATTCTTCTGGTAAATTATATAGTTCTTCGTAAGTCTTCAGGACTATCTGCATCAATGGCCAATGTAGTATCATCTGCATAGAAAACTACTGAATTTGAACTTTTGAACCTTTATATGAAAACTTTATAAAATATAGTGATGTATCCGAAAGTTTGTTGCAAATGACCCAATGTACAATTTCATTTCTCATTCGATGTTTTGATGTTTACCAAATCATAATTTCTGATACCTGTATGAAATCTATATTTTTACTTCGTTTTCTATCACATCTATCATTCATTTTCATCTCCTCACTGCTACCCAGAACAACGAAATCGATCATTTCACAGCTTCTGCTGTTATCTCAAAATGTATTCAAATTTGGGACATTTCCAGATTATTTTCCATCGCCCGGCCTTATTCCGTAAGTTATAGACACATTTTTTTCATTCAGATCCGGAATTACACTGGGCCTCGTTACAGCCGCCTTGAACTTTGTTGCAGGAGTGTGAAACTTTTCTATTTCCCGAGAAAAACGAATGAGAATAAAGCGGAACTCGTTGAGATATTCTGAAGTTTTTAAATTATATAATTTTCCGGTTTGGAAAGTGAATGCGACTACACCTGCGGTTGGCACTGCGGTTCTGGAAAACATGTGAGGTATTGAGAGTTGGTAGATAGCTTTTTGGTCGAAGTAGAAAATAGATGATTGTGATAATTCACCGTGACTGTTTGAAGCAGCTAATATCCGAAACATTATTTTTTATCAGTTACATTGGTATCATTATTGCTACATTGAGGATGCCTTCCAACTAATTTAGCATAGAATCGTGTTATAGCCATTTATGTGTTAGGCTCGAGACTTCTCAGCCCATGTAGTATGTACGTTCTTCAGTATGTACGTTCTTCAGCTTTCTCAACATACAGTATTGAAATCAGTTCAATCATTGATTTATCCTCATATTGCTGCTCGGTTTATTACACCTGCTTACCTCACTACAACATTCACACACTGCCACGTAAACAGATACAGTTTTTTACAATTATTATGGTTACTCCTATACAGGGTGTAACATAAATACGTTAAAATATTGGAGTGACGTATTCCTGAGACAATTAAAAAAAGGATCATATGACCCAGGCTACAATGTGGTTCCTTCTAAGGAGATTTTCTCTTAGTTCATTGACTATACTCCAAGTTTCTTTTGTTGTGTTTTTCGCATTTACCAACCTAGAGAGGTAATACATGTCTTTTGGTTTCTTAGTAACCTCTTGATTAATTATATATCTGAATCAATAAACGATTTCATGTGACATTTCAATATGATAATTTCACTGGACGATTTACCAAATGCAACACGTGTTTTACTATATCGTAATTTCCTGACACATGCACAGACAACATGAGTATGGCTGAGGTGAGGGGTAAAACCTCAGTAATTCTTAGCTCCCACAAGTTTCAACGTCTAAGAGTTCCCAGGGGGCGACAATTAGCTAACGGAAGAACGGAATTCAAAAAAAAAAATTGTTTGCCCCTTGAAGTTATTCTAAAGATAATACTGCAGAATAAACCAAGGTTACCAAGTGATTTCGTATATTGAAAATGAAAAATATTGACTGGTGACTCCATTACTGAAAATATTTCATTTTGAATACAGAACATTCAATTAAGTGCAAAATTGTACCAAAACTTCATTTGAAAATGATCCGTATGAGGAAGACACCTCCATGTCAACAGGAAAACAACGAACGATGGTTTCTCCTGTTGTCTACGTAACTTTTCTTTTGATTATCGTGATATTGAGAATACTCAGTATCATTTATTTGTGAAACACTATCGACAACATGATTTTTTATAAATTTCAAATTGAAGAGGAATTCTGTATGCTTAAAAGAGTGACAATTTTCGAAAAAAATCTAGAAATCATTTAAAAAATCACGAATGATGAAAGTGACAAAAACTAAGAGCGAAATGATGAATTATTTTAAAATAAAATAAAAGCATTGTACAATATAGGTCAAAAAACACCTTGTTTTTTCAATAAATTTCAACTGAAATTAATACCACAAGCAACTGACCATAAACTTCACTTCGAAAAATTCAGTACACTGCTCATCTTTAGGAAATTATTGATATAAGGATAATATGATCTGAAGATGATAGAGAACTACTAGTTTTCAACCTAAAAATCATTCCTTCATTAAAGGCATTGCAAATAAAGTATCAATAAAAAAAATTCATTTGTGAAGACAACAAATTTCCAGAAAAATGTCATGACGAATGAGTGAAATTTCAATTAGATGGATGAAATCTACAAACAGGTGCAATATTAAAAATAAGAAATCAAAAAGAAAAAATATCCCATAAAAAATGTTTCATGACGTTATGATTTCAATTTTTTCTAGCCATTTTAAATATTGTTCATAACTACTTCTAACCTATTTCATTGATTCATCTCATTTTTTTTCTTTACAAATTTGTGCAGTGTACTTATATTATTTTCACCAACAATTGTTCTTTTCTATATCGAAATTTTCTTACCTTAAGAAAATATATTCAGTCAGTTCGAAAAACATTCCAAATATTCCTAAATATTCAAACGGAAGACGTGAGATTTTCAACTCATCTCAATGTTGTAGATATCATAATCTACAATCAGGAGTAACTATTCATCAATATCTCAATAATATATATTATAATTAACAAACAACAGTATTTGGGAATCTATTTTTGAAAAAATATAATTCCTCAATTCTTCAGCGGTACTGTATTTTTATGATCCTCGTATCTATTCCAAGATGGCATTCTCACTTTCGCCTTATAATCCTTATAAATATCATAAGTGACTTCTTCCAATCCAGGGGGTTTTGCTTTCATAGCTGCATCAACAGCCATATCCGTTCTCTTTTTCACTTCGTTGTCAATGTCTTTCAATTCTTCTTCTTTAGCTAGTTCTGTTTTCAATATTTTGTCTGTGAATTGTTTAATACAATCTCGGGTATCTCGAACTTCTTTAACTTCCTCTCTAGTACGATATGTTGTTCCAGGATCCGACATCGAATGTCCATAGTACCTGAAAAATTGAAATTGAATAATTTTCTAATGGAAAATTTTGTTAGTTGAGGGTTTGAATTCTGTGATCATTATTGGTCATTCAAGGAGGGTTTTGTAGATGAAATAGAGAGATCCGTTGATGTTGGCATATACTTGATGAAAATTGAAGATTGTTTTCATCGTTTATACCTTTGTTATTTTTGATTCCATGACTGAAAGTTACAGAACTAAAGTTGTAGAGAATTTAATCTAATATATAAAAATGGATGTTTATTGGTTGGTTGGTTGGTTGGTATGTGATAAACTTCTACATCGCTCAACCGATCGTGATGAAACTTGAAATGTATAAGTAATTTTTCATAGAGAAGGTTTTTATGCTATCAATGTTTCTGTAACTCGCCACTAGATGGCGCTGTAAAACAATTTTTTGAAAGCACTGTTCTATAACGCTGCGCACGCCTAAGTTCGTTGATTCTGATTCTGTCAAAACATTGGAACAGCAGCGATACAGCAACATAATACTAATTAGTAATACATTTACCAAATCAAATTCTATGCGGGCGAAGCCGCGTGCAACAACTAGGAAACAATAAAACGAACTTTCAAAAAAATTTTTTGTGAGACCTCCATTTTGCCAGATGAACCATAAAGATTGTCGCCTACTTGTCCGGCATAGCACAGCACGGCGTTGTCCGTCGCTTGATGGCAACGATTAGTACCATCGCCCACTTGTCCAGCTATAAGCAGCATACTGAAGGTGATGTTTGTTCGATTTCAAGGAAATTTCAGTTGACATCGAGCGATGACAGAAACATGTATATCACTAACAGTTCTGACGAAGAAGTCGTCATTATAGTGGCCGCATTATTGAATGTAGAAGAAAATAGTCACAAAAAAGAAGGACGTGGGTCCATCCCATTATTCGAAAGAGGGCAAATCAGGGAGAGTTCCATCATCCTTTTACCGACCTGAAAGAAGACGAGGAGAAATTTTTCCAGTATTTCCGAATAACTCCAGGCAAATTTTCAGAACTTCTGGACATTCTAGGGCAACACATTTATTCCTTGTCCATTTTCATAGGTACCGTCTGACATTGTGCTTTCAATTGATGGAATAGCAAAACAGAGAGAAAGAAACTTCCCAGTCACGTTTGGTCAAGTTGACGCTGGCAAGGGCTGGCCGGCGGTGTGCTCACTTGGCCAGTCCGTTACAGCACGTACCGTTATTTGCCGGATAGGATCGGATAGCTGGAATTCTTTCCAGCGACGGACGCTTTTGGCTGCGCCGTGCCGGGCTAGTGGACGGTTGTTCATTCATTTTCATTGATCTAATGCTATACGTATTTTGACGGGACGGGTCGTGTTGTGCCGTATCGGAGAAGTGGGCGATAAGCTTAAGATCCACCTGTACCCCATTTGCCAAGATTGCGACGCGACCCAATAAATTTTACACTAACCCCATCCCTTGGTAGTTTAACAATTGAATTGCGTCCTCTGACGAATGCAGTACCAAATATATCTCCTCAAACAGCCTCCCTCATTTTCTAAACTCAAGTATATACTGTATTTTCGTCAATATACAAAAATTTCGGCCAATCGAACCAAGAAGCCTATTATTCTTAGCTCATTATGTTAACAGATACACATTTTAGGTTTCGAAATTTTTCTCATTCTACAGAAGTGAAAAGTCATTGATATTGATAACTGTGCATCCTTCAAAAACAGAACAGCACGCCTCTGAAATATGTCATCTTTGTTTGTCTCATACAGGTAACAGATTCATTGTCCTTTATCATCTATAACCGATGTTGTCAAATGGTGAAATAGAAACGAATCCCTTTAAATGTTGAATGTAACATTTCATTCTTCTCTTTTAAGTATTTAAATAATTTTTTCAAGGAGATGGTTGAAATGATAAGTTTAAAATGAGTTGTTTTAGAGCTCTTTTATGAAAACTACTTGATTTTCGTCAGGAGGAACATTCCCCATAGTATTTCATTTCACATTTCCTATGTTTTTCATATCTAGTTAGTTTCAAATATACACAAATGTATTTCTAGAGAATTATTAAATTAATGCAAAGAGATCAGAAGTGTTTCAGCCCCAAAGCAACACGACGTTTGAGGTCGTACTCCTATTGAGGCTGATGGGGTACAATGGTCACCAAACAAACCTGTATGTGACGAGCTCTAATAATATCGGCCCTTTTCCAGTTTTGATATGTTCCACGGCAAACTTGCCTACTTCCCTTACTGCAAGAACGTCCATTCCATCAAGCCTTATTCCGGGAATCACATCTCCTCTGGTATAGTAGTCCGTGTTTGCCGAATGGCGACTCAGGCTAGTACCCATGCTGTATTTGTTGTTTTCGACGAGGTAAATTACCGGTAGATTCTGTAGTTTGGCGAAATTGAAGGCCTCAGAGACTTGACCGTTGTCCATAGCTCCATCGCCGATGGCCACGAAAGATATGCATCCATTATTAAGGTATTTGTGAGATAAAGCAACTCCGGTGCCAAGTGGTACGTGTGCACCTACGATACCGTTTCCGCCGTAAAATACTCTGTTGTAGATGTGCATTGACCCTCCTTTGCCTCTAGAAGAACCTATAGAAATCAACTTATTATTAAAATATTACCAGAGTTTTTCCCAACATCAATCCGTTATTATAACACCTCGACACGTGTTTCGATCACCAAGTGATCATCTTCAAGAGGAAGATCTTCCCAACACCTCGAAATACGTGTCGAGGTGTTGAAATAACGGTTTGGTGTTGGGAGTAAACTCCAGTAATATTCATTACTACACCAAAGATTTCAAACAGTGCATCACAATTCCACTTACCATTCGGAAAGTTCGATCAATAAAAATATAGAGTTAACAAAACTTAAAGTGGAAATTTAATAATTATAATAATGACGATGAGACACAAAAGGCCCGCCCAAAAGTCGCATGTCTAGTATATGAGGTCTTAGCCTATACCATCGACAGTGAGACAAATGAGTAGTGTCGAATTTTTTGAAACTATTCTTTCCTTCAGTTCAATACTATCTTATAAGCCCTATGTAGTCCTTCTCGACCATAATATAGTTTTCAGCTCCGAGTGAAGCGAATATTCTCCAAAAAGAAGAAGAGAAATAGCTAAAATGTCGATATTTTCTCTCAGAATTCCACAGACTCTGTCTAGACCACTCTGTTGAAATGGCTGATCTGATTTTCGAACTCTTTGGTAAAATGATGCCTTCTTTTCTCTCGAATCTCAAGAATATGATGGCTTGCCGTGATAGAGCAGGGGGCTGTCATTCTAGGCTCATTGCGTCCGTTCTGTATACATATTACGCAGACTGAGTGATTGGTCCAGGTCAAGTATTTTGTTTTCTGGATAGGGATCAGGGTGTCCCTATCCTGGGTCCTAGCGGTATGAAATATATTTCACAGCCTACTCTCATACCTACCAAATACGAAGTTTCTTCAAAGTATTTTTCCTCAGAAATGATATACTTTTGCCCGCATTTTTCTCATCTTCGAAGCAGTTCTGATATGCATTTTTAGGTATGTCCCTGAGCTCTCCCAGTTATTCGGTTCATCCCTTCAATCGTCGCAAAATGCTGTCCTCTCATGGAACTATTCAATCAAGGGAACAGGAGAAAGTCGCAAGGCGCCGAACCTGGTGAATAAGGTGGCTGAAGTAGGATTACAGTGTTACTCTTGGCTAAAAAATCACGAAAAAGCAATGACGAGTGAGCAGGTGACATGAATTGTTTTTCCACTATAGACGTTTTATTCGTATTGCTCCCCGCCTCTTTATTGATCATGTGATACTTGCCAGGATCATATGGCAAGAACTACTGATGCTCTACACCACGGTAATCGAAGAAGACAGTGAGAAAAACTTTGACATTTGAACAAACGTGGCGTGTTTTTGGCCTTGGCTATCCTACGCTCTTCCATTCGTCACCAATTATGACCTTTCTGAGCAAAAGTAGTTCTTCATTACGTCATTAAACAATTCCTGAGCGATGCTCATGCGACGGTTTTTCTGGTTAAAATTCAGACATTTTTTTAACGAACTTCGCAATCACACGCTTCATTGCCGAAATTGCATGACATTATTCATCAAGTATGACATTCACATCTTCTTGGCCTTCTGTGAAAAGCTAGTACCACTTGTAAACATTTTTCTGACTCTGAGTACAGGGTTACTAATCGGTCATTGTCCGCTTAGAGGACACCTGAATGAAATGGGGCTGTACAACGGAGACCTCAGCAGCAGATTATGCAACGAAGGGATAGAAACAGCTCTACACATCTTATGCGAATATGAGGCACTGAATCACAGGAGGCAGGCAATATATGGACGTACAAAATTACGCCCAGAAGAATATGATGAACATCCAACACAGAATCTGTACAAACTAGTACAGGGAACGAGACTGATGGAATGGGTGTCATGAGAAGATGGGAGAACAAACGCAATAAGCCCAAGAGGCTGCAGTGTTTTCTGGAGACTTGGACTAAATGGACAAGTCAGACAGCGCCTAAGACACAAAAAAACAATCATCGTATGCCAATATCAACATTTTGAGTGTTTTTGAGCACCTTATTTCATTTTTCACACAAAAATGTGATGCAAATTCCCTGATCCATTTTTTTCGATAGCAAAAAATCGCCGAACACCCAAAACAATTTCTATCTCGATGCCTCTCACCAACAAACTGAACAAGCTGAACAGCTGAAGCTGTTAATATATGTTCGAAACGAGTGAACCAACATAAATAAATGCAAACACTGCTAATCGAGTGTTTACAGTTCGCGAAATGTAAATATTCTCTTTTTTTAACATATCTATCTCGAATAAACAAAAAAAAAATCTTAAAATTCGGTCGAGCTAAGCGGTCATAAGCACCGTGAAATGAGATTTTTATACTTTGTGTCCCCACAGTATGGAATAAATTCCAATTTCCAAAATCGAAGGTCGTTTTACAGAAACCTAAAAACAACCTGTATTTGATGTCAGTTTTAGATAATCCGTAACGAGCTGATTCCGAAAAGGTATAATACTTGGGTTCTAAGAAATTAATTAAGTATTTTATATTTTTTTCTAATGATAAATTCAACAATGGGAAAGTAATCAAGTAATAAATACATGACCAAATTTTAAATGTTCCGAACTGTTGCCCTTACTGAGAGATATTGTTTATTTCTGTTCGAATTCTCTTTTTGCTAGTTTCGTTTCATGAACAACATTCTTTAGATGGCCTCACATAAAGTAATCCAACGGATTTAAGTCTGGTGACCTCGCTGGCCACTCAATATGTCCACGTGTACCAATCCATCGGTTCGTAAACATTTGGTCGAGATCCAAACTTTCAGGATAAATTGTACTGGGAAATAAATTGATCAGGTACAAGATATCCCTTCAAAAACTGAAGGTATGTTGTCCCGTCTAAAGTACCGTCGAGAAGTAGGGTACGATAATCCTGTTTCTTACAATGCCAGCCCATACATTTACCTTTTGCGGGTATTGTATATGATGCTCACGCATCCAGTGGGGGTGTTTTCTGACACATTACCTACAATTCTGACAGTTGATCCCACCATTTAATGTAAAAGTTGCTTCATCAGAAAATATATTTTTTTCGAGGAGACGGTCTCGGTGGCAGCTATCCATAGCTTCACAAAATTTTATTCTTTTATCTGGATCATCCTCGTTCGATTCCTGTTGAAGTTTGATTTTGAAGGGATGCCATTTTTCCAATTTCAATACTTTGTGTACAGTTGTTTTACTGATATCAAAATCACGACTAACCTTAGGAACAGAAGTGTGCATATCTTCTCTAAAAGCAAGTAGAACATCGAGTTTTGTATCATCATTTACAGAAGGACGACCTGTTTTGCGTGCATTCTCAACCGTACCGGTTTCTCGAAATTTCTTTTCAATCTTACTTACTGCTGACTACGTTATGCCTCTTTCTGGATATTTTTCATCAAGTAAGTTACACACTTCTATCTGAGTTCACGACCTGTCTCCATAGCCAATCATCATAAGTATTTTAATTCTTTGCTTTACACTTAAATTCATGACTACTTACATTACAACAACTACTGTTCTATTCAACAGTTACTGAACGTCAATCGAAATAATGACATTTCACATTAACAAAAAAAACTAGCCGTCTAGTTTTTTGAAATTAATAAGAAGTATATTCAACTACAGCAAAGACTACAGTTCGAACATTCTAAATAAAGTCATTGATTTATCACTGGATCACTTTCCCATTTTCGAATTGATCATTAGAAAAAATATAAAATAATTAATTAATTTCTACTTTTATTAGATATCAATAAAATTTATTTTCTAAGCGCACATCTTTCAAATTCTGTCCGTTAGACCCCAAGTATCATACCTTTTCGGAATCAGCTCGTTACGGATTATCTAAAACTGATACCAAATACAGGGTGTTGTATTTATAAAAAATTACCGATAACGTCATCACATTAATATGGATCACCCTGTATAATGAAATTTTATTGTAAAATGTAGAATATTAAAATTAAAAATCGACGTGTTTCAGGTTTTTGTAAAATGACCTTTGGTTTTGGAAATCTCGAATTTATTCCATACTTTGCGGAAACACTGTATATGAGAATATTTATTTCATAATGACAGGAGTGAGTTATTATTTCAATGAAACTGAATTGGAATCAGGATTTTGAACTCTTAGGACACGTTCTGTTGGAAAACTTTTGGCTAAATTATACTTTATGGGATACTCACGGATTTTCGTGATGATACTACATGATGGTAGGAATTCAGAACACTCTTTATTTTTTGTCGGACATATAGCCTATCAAAGTTTGTATGGCGTCATATTTCACCTTTTTTTAAGGCAATAAACGATTGCAATAAACATCGCACCTTTTTCTATACCTTTTCAATCACTTATTGCCGAGTTTCCTGACATTAGAATAAAATTCCACAATTTGTCAGGTGCACATATCGACATAACCTTATAGGTAATGTCGATTTGTGTGCACCCATCGACATAACCTATAAGGTTTTATAAATTGCATCAAGTTTCACTATTCGTTCCTTTCAGAATTCGGAGGTCAGGTTAGATGTCAAGGAAATATAGTTTTTACAAAAGTAAATATTCAAAAATACGTTCCTTTTAGAATCTGGAGTTCAGGTTAGATGCTTAGTATACATAGTTTTTTAAAATTCTAAAGTAAGGTTAGACTGAGTTAGGTTAGGTCGGGTTAGGTTAGGTTGAGTTAGCATGTGACAAATTATGTAATTTAAATCTAATTTCAAGAAACTTAGCAATGAGTGAATGAAAAGGGATAGAAAAAAGTGCGATGATATGGAAAAAGATGTGTTGAATTGAAAATATGTGAATTGCAATCGTTTATTGCTCAATAAAAAAAGGTAAAATATGACATCATACAAACTTTGACAGGCTATATCTCGAAAACATTATATTATTCAGAATTCTACATATTATTTTATTAAAACAACGAAAACTAATTGAGTCCGACAAAAAATAGAAAGTGTTCTGAATTCCTACCATCATGTAGTATCATCCCAGAAAAATCGCGAAAATCCGTGAGTATCCAATAAAGTATAATTCAGCCAAAGGTTTTCCCGCAGAAAGTATTAATCAACTAAGCGAGGGTGCGAAATCAATAGCGACGTTCTCAACTGTAGATGATTACGTTTATGAAACTAAAATATCCAACATACCTGTTACTTTCCCAACCAGCTCTGACATTATGGCTTCCAGAGGTTCGCCCGTCATGAGAGCCCAGGCGTGACACCTATAAGAGGTAATGACCGTGTCGCCTGGCTTCATAACACTTTTAATGCCCACTGCACATGCCTCTTGACCACTATATAAGTGGCAGAAACCCACAATGATTTTTTGCTGATACAAACTGGCCGCAACAGTTTCCATTCTCCTGATAGATACCATATTCTTATAGATTTCGAGAGCATCACTCCTGGTGAGTTCTGTGGTGACTGGAGGAGAAGAAATTCGGTGAAGATCATACGGATGATTTTCGAATTTTACTGCCGAAGACAGAGCTGCTTTGCATGTCATACATCTCAGATGAGTTATTGAAGAAGTTTTTGTCAATAGTGAAGTTAGAATCGGATGAAATCTTGACATTGCTTCGGTCATAAAAACACGTCTGTCAATTATAACGTCAAACTTCACATAGGGTAGAGCAGGGCCGGAGAGTTGAACATAGGGGTGAGTTGGCAATCGAAATATCACTACATAGTATAAGACATAGTCGCTTTTCTCTGTTTTTCCATATGTATTTTTAGATCTTTGAAACTACGTAAGGGATTTTGATGCGGGTGTCTTTCATAGATAGATAGATAGATAGATAGATATAATTTATTTATCCTTTGTGCTACATTANTACATCATTTTGTCGCATGCCACCTTGAAGAAGCCCTACAGCTCTATTCATCTCAGCCAATGGTAAGTGATGGCGTTCCATGTTAAAGCACAATATTTCCAGTTTAATTGCTGAGCAAGAACTGCATAGAATGTACAAACTCGACACTTTCAGATTATTCATTTTAGCCGAAAACCTACAGTTTGTAAAAAACTTGATAAAAGATTAGTTACCGTTTTTGCAGGCTTTGTTCAACCCATAGAAATCTACAGGGTGGTCGAGTGTACCAATTTAATCGAAATTGAACGACCCCATGCATTTATTTTTATGACATTTAGTATGTGATAAAAATATCCCTAGACGTTTCCGATGTGTGTATTTATAAATGACTCAAGTTTTTGTTTGAAGGCAATTGGTGGCAGTGTCTTTACACTATTTGGCAATTTATTATAAATACTCGTTCCAACAAATACAGGAGACTTTTCATATTTTGTACACAGGTGTTTTCGAGTTGTGAGCATATAGTTTTTTATAGTACTATATTTATGTACTTCTGATCGTGGGTCGAAGTACCTTTTATTTTCATGAACATATGTCATGAGTTTCAAAATAAATATGCTTGCCGCAGTTAATATTTTATTCTCTTGAAATATTCCTCTACACGACATTCTGTAATCAAGGTTGAAAATTAATCGTAGCAGTGCCTTTTGTTTTACGAATATTCTGTCAATTTCAGTGGCTAATCCCCAGACAGCAATGTTGCAACATACTATGGAGTGAAATTTTGCCTAATAAACCGTTAGTAGAGATTTGGTATCTAGTTTACTTATCAGTGATTTCATTAGGTAATACGATTGGTTCGGTTCCTTAGATGTAAACTCTATGTGTTCTCTCCATGTGGAAAGGAAATCAATCATTGTTCCTGAAAACTTTGTACAAGTTGTATATCTCAGAGATTCTCCAAGGAGAATATGCAAATTCAATACAAACAGTCGTATTGACATTAACAATCAATCTGTTTTCAAAACACCACTCACTGAATTCTCGCAGTACAGTATTGACTTGGGTATGCATTTTATCCGGTGTTTTGCTCGATGAGTTGATAGACGTATCATCTGCATAAAGGTACACATTACCATAACTTATGTTATCAGGAAGATCATTGACATACAGAAAAAATAACAGTGGACCAAGAATACTACCCTGTGGTGTTCCTGTTGTAACAGAATACTCATCAGATAATATTTTATTCTGTTTCACTATAAAATATCGATAAGTTAAGAAGGACACGATGAGCCTATTGATATTGCCTCTGATACCAATGTTGAAGAGTTTTTTACACATTATTTCAATACTCAGAGTATCGAAAGCCCTATTCAAGTCGAAAAAAAGGCCCACAACGACTTTTTTCTCATTGATTGAATCATGGATTCGTTGAACCAATTTGAGTATTGCTGTTTCTGTTGAATGATTTTTTCGAAAGTCATGTTGGTAATTGGTCATCAAGTCGTATCTTTCCAGGTATTCTTTTATTCTGCGCCATATAATCTGTTCAAAGATTTTAGAGAAGACTCTGATAATCGTTATGGAGCGATTATTCACTATGTCAGTGCAATCGCCACTTTTCAATATCGGAATCAATAGTGCGATTTTAAGAAGAGATAGATAGAGTAATTCAAGGGGAAGGTGTATGTGTATATATCATATACCTAAAGAAACACTGGTAATTTTAGAGGTTCCTAATGTGATGTCGTAAATAAACACTTTTTTGCGCTTACATTGCAAACGCTGGCTGAACCCTACGAGATGATAATAGTAATAATAATAAAGTTTATTTTATTCGTAATATACAATTCCAAGTAGCCTATCACTAAAACATAAGTGAGGAAGAAATAGAATGAACAAGACACCATGGAATAAGCTTCAAAAGAGTTTCTTATATATGGTATAGCCAACCTATTGAAAATGGAACTGGATATACAAAATTGGTTCAATTCATTCTTGGTGAATTGATAAACATAGAACAAAGTATAATATTGAATTATCTCGTTCATAGACCGTTGCATAGAGGAAAGAAAAAGAAATAGACAAATGACATTGTGCGGAAAATTTCAAACTGCCAATTTTGAAAAAATTGGCAAGGGGAAGTAGTGTTGTTTCAATTGTACTAGTTGATGGTTTCAAGGAATGTATTATCATTACACTTTCCCAACCAGTTTTCAATGTGTTTAATCTGTTTCTTGAATTCATTTTTATTTCTTATGACTTCTATCTTATCTGGTACAGAATCCCAAATTTTCGCGCCCATGTAGCTACAATGCCTTTGACCGACTAATTTTTTACATCTTGGTGCCAATGCGGTATGTTCTTCGTTCCTAGTACCTACCATATGGGTGTTGAAGGTCCAGTTATTATACTGGAATAATTCCTTTCCATATCATATATAATTTTCAAGATATATTTTTGCATTACGTTCAGACTGTTTGAGTGTTTATAGTTCACACCGCCCCATAATCCACAGTCAACTGTTTTCAACTGGGGGATTTCGATAATTTCTTTCAATAATTTGAAACGTGAGAGAAATCCATGTAATTTTCTGGTTAAATGTGACATATGTTGATTCCATTGCATATGTCGATCTAAAATTATTCCCAAGTAATTAATTGTAGTGACCTTAGGTATTGAAGTTTCCCCGTTTATTTTTAAAGGACGAGAGATATCAAGAAATGTACTACTGCATAGTACACCATGAAAAGTTCCAAAAAAAATTTCGTATTGGTATATGTCTATCAATTTTTATTTCCGAGAAATGATTACGTTTATTTATGAAACGATTTTAAGCAATACAGCAATAATCCTTATTTAATTAAGTGCCTCAAATACATTGTGCATTTGATATTGATCGATATGGCCCTGTACATCATGTAATTTGAACGAATATTTTCGAAGATATAACAGATTCAAAATCCAGAGATTAGAAAATCCAAAATGATTAGGAAATTTTTCAATATTTTTTCGAAATTCCCGTTTTCAAGTTATTGAAAAAAGCCTATCATAAAAATCCCAGAATTATACCTGACCAAATTGCGCTACTCCTGGAGAGATTTTCCTTCAAAAGACAATAATTATACATTTTCCATAATTCTCATAAAAGTGAGCTATTTTCATCAAGTGATCAGTACAAAAAGTCATTTCAATTATATTTTCCTTGTCTTCTCACAGTCTGCCCTTCCTCGAAAAATGTTTAAACGACGAGCTCATTTATTTTTCTGTCACCGCAATTTTCGTGGAATTAGGATTTATACTCGACGAAATTAGGATTAGAATTCATCTTCAGACTCTCTAGAATAAATAATGTATCCAGTCACGAACTCCGAGATAATGAAATGGAGAAACACTGATATTTGGGAAACATCAAAGCGATATTTGTTCAACAAGCAAAATGAAGAATGTATTTTGATGAGTCTGCTAGCTTACATGTTGATAGTTTTCCATTTCGAATTACTTTGCTACGTGTTTCCGGGTTTTTGACCGTGGTCTACAGGTTTATATGCCTGACGTTTCGCCTACTACTGCGGTAGAAATTATCAAAGGCGATGACGTAACAGTCGAAGTGCTATAGTTGGTAATCGAGTTGTTGTTTTTATCGTAGAAACTACTAGGCTGGCATTCGTCTCCGCTTTTATATTATCAAAGGCGGGTAAGGCTTGGTTTCTCTTGATCACCTGACCACCATTCTAGTCAGTTAAATACAGGTAGCCAGATTTCATCAATGTCCATTGCCTTTTTTTTCTTTCGAATTATCCATGTGTTTTTGAATTTATGTTGCCTCTCCATATACTCTTGGATAGTAATTTCGAGTTAGTTGAGTATTACTGTATCTTCAAATGAGGTAATGTGAGTTTCTTTTTCTCGAAAGCATGTTGAGCTACAGCTGACTTGTCGGTTTGTCTGAGGCGACAATTTATCTTGTGTTCAGAGAGCCGGGTTAGGTTAGGTAAGGTTAGGTTAGGTCCAAAGTGAGTGGGTCTATTTGACCCTCCACCGCAACCCACAAGGGTTTATTGTGGCTCACACCTATACACATTCGACCAAATAAACCCAGCTTCTAACGAGGGCGATTAGTTTGTATGGTTAGTGGTCTTTCAGGTCGCATGGTGAGTGTACGGCTCTGCTGAACTCTAAAAAACCTGATTCGGTCTCCAGCGGGGCAGGCACAAAGTATATGCTCTGATAACAGTATACTTATACAGTAATTCCACTTCAGGTGATTTTTGGTTTTAATTTTTCACACGCAGACCCAGGAGTTGAAGTCTCAGGTCTACGCAAACGACGAGTTCAAGACAGGCATGCAACCCTTCCATAGTTGTCGAATTTCATGAGTTTCACCCAACCTACTGAAACAATGTTTCAAAAAACAAATGTGACATTTGCATTGTATATGCTAGAGAAAACAAATTATTGAGTGCAGAAAATTAGTACACGCAATTCAGAGTATATCAAAATGCAGAAAACGATACTTTTGGATATCTACAAACTCCAAATAAAAAGTTTATAGATTATTTGAACATTTTGGAAACTATTTTCAGTAAACATTTTCCAAAATTATCGATAGAAACTGGTATTGAAAGAAGCATAAAACATAAACTTCAGGAAGTGCCTTTTTCTCGTCCATGTTTGTATTTTCCAGCTGATTATTTAATTCCATCATATGTGCGGGTGAGAATTTATTATTTGATTAAGTTTATAAATCGTGTTTTTGAAACTACACTGA